TTCATAATCAAGACCCGATACCGTTCTATGTTGAATTTTTCATATTAAATAAAAATTTATTTAAAAAGAAAAATTTATTTAAAAAGAAAAATTTTCTTACCGATTTTCAAGATACATATCATAATAAAAACCTTGTTCAATCGGTGGTCCATAACATAAACAACCACCATAACATAATTCCATAGCTTCACCCATAATATGTGCTGTTGAATGCCAAAATACTTGTTTCCCTATTTAGATATATGAATAAAATCATTCGTTAGCGATGTGATTTCACAAATCTAGAACATATGTATCTCGGGATAAGAGATTTTCCTAGAGCTAATTTTTATATATGTTATATGTTTGGTAAGTTACTCTAAATACTCTGAAAAAATCAACGTTAGAGATCTTTGTTGAGAGGAGTTATCAGTAAAAATCTGGCATTAGTGATGTGATTAGACATGTGCGAGACGAAGTTTTTTAGTTCCAATCCCACACATGTCTCTACTCAGGTGCCTCAATTACTGGAAAAAGGAAACGATTATTTTAATATTTGCAGATTTTATTCGTATTTATGTCATGTTATTTATCATGATACATCTTTTTTACATTACAAGATATCAGCATGAATATTGTAAATTGATTTATAATGTACGGAAAACTTTATTTGAAAAGTCACAGAATTAAAGATATCATATAGTCTCAAATTTCGATCCTGCATATGTCTAGACATAACATAAAAAAGAACACCGGGTTTTTCACTTTATTTATTTTAGTTTAGATAAAACTTTGAATTGACACCAGATTTTTCAATACTAAATACTACATTCTGTAAGCAACTCCTGAGACTACAAGAGCATGCCTAAATTTTTCAAAAAAAAAATTGATTTACTTTTCATTGACAACATGATGATGTACGAAAAAAATGGTCTTATAACCGAATGAGAAATTCAAAATCAATTTCAAACGATAATAGTTCTTTTTCAGAATCTCTAGAAAAACAGTTTTTTTGAGAGAAAACCTTTTTGATGTCTGATCTTACTGAATAGATGTGATTCGTACCGTAGAATCTATCCTGAAGTTTTCGGATATTTTTCTCTTTTGATTAAAGAAATATTCACTAATTGCTTTTTAATTAATAGTTAACTGAAAGAGCTTACATTTTCACATATATGTATGCTAAAAGAACTTATTCAGAAAAATAACCCTCTCCATATATTCAATATTGAATAAGGAATTATATTCACATTAAAAAAATTACCTTGTTCATCATCAAATTTAATTAATTCTAATGATGAATCTTTTTCAAATGGTCGATCAAGATCCCATAATTCACCATTGACTTTTGCAATAACTGTTGCAGAAGCTAATCCTTGACTGAATATTTAAAACGAAAAAAAAACGAAATGTTGCATTTAAGAATAATAATAGATCAAATAAGCATACCTAATGCCTTGTGCAATTTCATTTGGAGTTGTTTTCCATGCTTTAGCAGGTAACTTTTTTCCATCGGGTAAAGTTATTGTAATATCAACTTGTGGCTGTGAAGCAACATAATTTTGATATTTTGTTTTTAATTCTTCCCAGATTTTAATACGATGTGGAATGTAATCTGGTGATGGATTTAACTAGAAGAATTAAATGAAATATTGGTTTGTTTTTTTTAATTTGTGTATTTTCTTTTCTTACTTCCGTAAGCGTTGGCTTTGTTTCTGGTTCAGCCATATATTTTTGTTGAATTTTTTGCCAAGATTTGTTAAGCTGAGAGAACAAAAAAAAAACAATATTTTCAAAAAGTTAAATAAATAAATAAATAAATATCTAACATACGCTAAGCGAAATCGAAAACGATCGAGTTTGTATTCGATGAAGTCGATAAATAAATATTGAAAAACGTGGTGTGCAAAGCGTAGTGATCGATCTGAAATGATATTCATATACATATATATTATGATCTATTCTTACGAAAAATTTAATGGTAAAACTGTCATGCAAAGAATCTTTCAATGACATTATATATTTTTAGGTGGTAAGCAACGTAAAAGCTCACGCAAAATTACTTCATGATATTGCATGCATTGATATTAAACATTGCATCATCTTTTTCTTTTTGAAAGACAAAGTAAATGGATAAGATTTTTTTTTTATTTCGTATATTCGAAGAAGGAAATACTAAAAACAGAAAACAAAATGTAGAACATATTCTTTTGTGAACAAGGTCAAATGAGCTATTCAAACTACAATGATTTCTCTAAGAAAGAATATGTTTACGGTCACCAATCAAAGTTTGACCATGATATTTGCTGACATCTATCTTCATTTGTTCCAAAAAGCAGCTAAGTTGGTAACTGAGAATATCAAAACAAAAAAAAAGATCATATTGTATATTGTCATTATTATTACTATAATAAATAGAAATACATACTACAACAATGTGACTATACACAAAAAGATAATCAACAAAAACAAAAGTAAAAAGTGTAACACAATAAAATATACAAAAACAATGATCTTTTTTTTCTACTTATTCTTCAAGATTATGACAATTTCACACCATGGAAAAAATATATATCGGAATGTTAAGATCATCTTATGACTAAGAGATTCTTTTCATCGTAATTTAATATAAAATATTATGCACTAGTTACTAATGATGATTCATCACCCTCTTCTAATAATTGACTTTTTCGACGATTACTTCGTACTTGCCATGCACTAATCGGTAAATATTGTAAACGTACTATTGTTTGATATTTCCATAGAAGCCAAATAATACCCGCTATAGTACATATAGTTACTTCAATATAATATGGATCTATTGATAGACGACAAACACCTCCTAACATATGACAATTTTTTTCTTCAATCGTTGTTTCACATTGACTACCACCTAATGAACATGTTTTCCATGTTAAATAATCAGCTGCATATAAAACAGTTGTTGAAATCCAATTACTACCTAAAAAAAACCAGCAACAAAGATTGAACATATTTACATTTTAAAAATTATTTCATAAAATTTTACCAAGATTTGATAATGTATTAAGTAATGTCATATATGTTCCACCAATTTTAGGATCACTAACTTGAGCAAAAAAAAGCCATTTGAGAAACAAACATATTATATACAAATATTTGATGTATACCATAAATAATAATAGCTAATGTATAATAATACCAAGGAAATGTTTTATTATAATTTTGAAATATTGGTGTATAATAAACAAATATAGCCATGATTACACCTAAAATTAATCTATGAAGAAAAAATATAATAACAAAAAAAAATCAATAATAAGAAAAATTTACCGAAATGGATATGATTTAATATAAATATTTAATGGTCTTGTTCCAGTTGTATATTTTGATATAACAAATGGTAAAATAATTTGTAATGGTACTAATGGTATTGCTAATAAAGCTAATGAATCTCTTGCAACACCACGTTCAATTAATTCTAATCCAGTCATTGCATCTGTTGCAGCAAAACCTATCTAGATGATAATTAATAACGAAAAAAATAAATAAATAAATCAACATATGAATTTATTAATATATTATTTATATTATACTTTAGCTGTTAATAAAATCAATGCAATAGATCGAACGGATGATAAACGAAAAATTTTTAAAAGAACTTTATATGTTTCAGTAAGACCAAAATGAGGTTCATGTGAATCATAATTTTCATCAATTTCATGTTTTATTAAAGCAACTAATGTTGTTGATATTATAAAAATGATACCCCAGAATAAAAGAAAACCTATGAAAAACAAAAAGAAAACAATTTCCATAGAAAGATATTTTAGCATAAATCATTTATGATTTTTTGAAGAATTTTTTTTTGTATTATCTTACCAGGTAATGTAATTAATCCATTTGATTGTAATTCCATATTTAATGGTTGTCGTATATAACGATTTGTAAAATCTTTTGATTCAAATGCAAGAAAAACGACATTACCCAAAAAATATCCAGCTGTTTGACCAACAGAATTACATGTACTTGCCCAACCAACATTTTCTCTATAACAAAAAAAAAATCTAAAGAGTGATTTGAATAGAGAAAATTGTTTCCTACAAAAATTTGAAGAAAAATAAAATTCATAAAATTCCAAGATCTCTAGAAAATCCAAAAATCTAGTTTTTTCAGTACTTAGAATCCCAAAATAAATTACACAGAGTGATAGAGTAACTACTGTTCTAGAAAATGAGATGTCTCTGAACTCTACACGACATTTTTCAACTGAACTACATCAATTTTAAGTATTGGAAAAAAAATATCAAAATTAAATTTATATGATGAATATTTGTAGTCACTATATATTATTTACCTTGAAAGCATTGAAAGTGCCCAACCATCGACACAAATATCTTGTGTAGCAGCAAGAAATGATAAACCAAAAAAAATTGATGTAAGAAAATAAATATCTAAATTATAAAATTGAAATTTTAATAATAATTATTATAATATTAAATTAAATTATATACGTGATTGATTATTTGTTGATGTTTGTGTTGTCAATAATATATCACTAATATGATATGAAAGTATAATCATTACTAATCCAATTAAATATTGTACTGGTATAAGCCATGTTTTTCTTCGACCATATCGTTTTATATATAATGCATCAACAATTGGTGCCCAAAGAAGTTTAAGACTAAATGGCCAAAAAGCAAATGAAAATGTTGCTTGTTGAGACCAACTCGTACCATATGTTTGAATAATTAAAGGTATTGATGCAGCCATACCAAGTGGAATACCTTGTAATAAATATAGAAATAATAAAAGACTTATATTAGATTTATCTTTTCTCCAATCGCTTCGTTTAGATATGGGTGGCATTATTAATGATGATGATGAATTATTATTTATTATTTCTTTTCCAGATTCGAGTGATGACGAAAGACTATCGGTGTTAATTGCGGATTTCTTTTTAATAAATGGTTGTGTTTGATTAATATCTTTATCCAGCGTTGGTTTTTTTTTTAATCGATACCGAAATTCCATTCTCGACAAGTCATTAAAACGGACAATCTTTAACAAGAAAGCACTTCGGTTAAGGTCTATTCATTCATCAACACGTATTCGTCAGTGCTATCCAATGAATACGTTTTTTGTTTAATATCATAATTCATAGACTTTTTTTAAAAATACTTATGATATTCGAAGAAATTGTATGATCAATAACAATGATGGATTAACTAAATAAAATTAATTGTTTTAATTTATTATATTTTCTGATTGGTTCAGAAGTCATCACTATATATCAGAGCGCCCTCTTGCTTGCTTGTCACATTTTTTTTTTGAATACTGGAACAAAAGTGAGTTTGCTATGTGTTTCTTAGAAATTGAACAAATAAAGTTAGAAGTGATTGTTATACATTAAATTTGCTGTTAGAAACGAGTCGTATTCTATTCTAGCATAAATGGTTAATAACAAAATTTTAGACTCACAAGTTGTATACCGTTCACATTTTCGACTGTACACTATTTCCTAGGCTGAAACAATAGGGTCTAGAAACCGAAATTTACCAATGTATATTTGTAACATAAGTACCATATGGTAGCTATGCTTATAATAGTACAAACAGCTGCGTAGGATAACAAAAAAGGGAACCTACTCATCAAGACTAACGTGAACCAAGGAGTAGTATCCCAAGATGAAGAATACTAAATTCATATACACACCATGTTCCACTGTATACTATAGTATTTTGTTGTATCACATGACTTAGTATTACAGTCGTATTTCTTCATATCATATATAGAAAAATATGATCGTTTACGAGGATGTTTTGTCGACCTGAAACGCTCTTAGAGGTAACGATCATTGTTATTAAATTATTGAATAGTTTGTCAAGATATCTCTTGTATTTGACTTGCAGAGACTGAAAACAAACCCAGTCGAACTCGAACTCGAACTAATTTCCCGAAGGTGAGTCCGAACCAAACTCAACACAAACTAGCGAAATCCGGTTCGATTTGGTCTTTGTTGTTTAGTAGTTCACTTAATACAGCGTTTGTTTCTAGATGGATCTATATGCATGCCTCTATTCTGTCAGTCTAGGGTCAAATGAATCGAACCTCGTTGTATGTTACCTATTAGTTAGGGAATCTGTAATCATGAATCTCAACTTCTATGCGATATTAAAGCTACATATAATGTCCCGGATAAGTTAAAAAAAGAAAATTTCAATTCGACTGAATGTAATATTTCAAAAGAAAAAATTGACAACATATATTCAAAGACTAATCATTCTTTTTCTTCTGATAAAAATCAAATATAGAAAAACAAATTGTCCAGCTTGAGAATTGTTCTTAAATTTAATTATACTTATGAATAAAGCTTTCGAATGACTTAAACCTATCGTATATCAATTTATTGTTGGATGATAAACTACAAAATATTGTTATTTATAAAGTCTTTCTCTTTACATTCAAGTATTAATTGCTTTTAATAAACACATGCTAAAAATCAATATTCAAAATGATGATTACAACTTCTGTCAACAACTGAAAACCACTGCAAATAATACTGTATATCAGTACTTTTTTTACGCTTGACGTTCGTCAAAAAAAAATACCTGTACCTTACTATTTAAATATGCATTGTATTATGACTGTCTTTTATCGTATCATACATAATTTTAATAATAATTAGAAAAATGAGCATTTGACTCGTTCACGCTACGTTCAAGTATAATCATGAAAATATGATTGTTTGGATGTTGTATTTCTTTAACATAGATAAAAGATTTAGAATTTGAAAATAGTTTATAGTTTTAATAGATAAAGCAAGCTTTTTTTTTGTTCGGACTTCAATCATTAAATCCTAACACAATCACCTTTAGTATTAATCTTTGTTGTTCATGTTGATAAAACAAGAGTTAGTTTGAACTACATTTATCTAATCTTTTCTTCCATGATTTTATATTGCTCTCTTTTTGAAGTATTTGAAATCATGTATTATTATTCAGTCTCCACATATACTGTGAAAACTATTCTATACCAGAAAACAAACAATTGCGTATGATTGATTGATGTTATTAGTGTACTATACTGTGTGTCCCTAGCGAATACTTAAAATGGCATGGTTTGATTACATGTTATGAATGAATCTGATTGAACTGTGGGAGAACTTCAAGTAATCAACAAGCATTCAAATATATTTCGGAATGGTCTATTCACATAAATAATAGTTAGGCGTAACTGGCAGATATTATTAGTATACTCGATTAGTCTTCACTCGGGCATATCTGGCATATGAGTGACTTCATCTAATATAGTGTACTTATAATAGCATGAGAGAATTGGTTTAGGTCTCTACGGACTTCAAGTGATTATGTTAGAGTTAAGTTTGTTTTTCAAATAAACTTAATAATTGAAGATCATTAGTTACGAACGAAAATATGATGTAAATGAAATGTTCTAGAAAATTCAATTTTATAGTGATTTCAATTCATATAAAATTATCTTGTTAAATTTTCAATTAGTTATAATAGTAGATATTATGAAATCATAAAAAAGAAAATTATTTTTATAATATTTTTATTTTCTTTATAAAAAGATATATATGATTAAATAAAAAAAAAAAGAACTATTGCAAATATATTTCCATATGTTTATTGACATATATCATGTCAAATAAAGATTCTTTATCAATCATTTTCAGCTGGCAAAATAGATCATGACATTTACATATGATTGTCATTTGCATTTGATGGACACATTTCTATTTAAGAATAACTAAAGCAAAAAAAAATCAAAATAGCGATTATATATTTTCATATAGTTTTTTTTTTTATTTATTGTCCTTCAATACATAGTACTTTACATAAAATAAACTACAAAACTGTTCTATGATAGTCAATCAAGAGACTTCCAACTGTGTTTCATCAATCGAAATAATATCTAACATGACGAGGTCAATAATTTTAATAGAGATCGAAATAGAATCATTATCAATAAGAAATTAGAGTAATGAAAAGAATGTGTCAATCAACAAGATAACGCTCGATTGATCTATATTTCATGCATATGACACATAGCACATTATGATAGATAATTGGTGTTTGTTTAAGAAAAAAAAAAAAGGAGAACAGAAACGATGTGCTATATGTTTTTTTTCTAAATAATTGATCAGCCAATAATTTATTGGTTCTATACGTGTATAATATTGAGTCTCAATCAAATCACATGCTGAGTAGCTTTTTTTTCTCTTGTCTTTTCCCTTATTCTTTTTGATACCGAAATCTTATTGATGCATTTATATATATACCCCTATTGTGCAGAGAAGTGTAAACAGATCGAAGTGATATTGAGGCAAGAAATAAGAAGAAGAAGGTTTTCTTTTTCTCATGATGTTAAGTGATGGAGACATTATTTCATGGCTCTGCAAGATGAGACAGTAAAAGAGAAAGGAAGAGAGAAAGAAAATTGTTTGTGTTGACAAGAGATAGATAATTTTTCTTCTCTTTTATTATTCATGGCATGTGAAAGCTAGATACAGATCATCTTAAAGAAAAAAAAAATTATTTCGCAAGATCAGAAGAACACTTGAATAAATGAAACAATGATAAGATCAGCTATTTTCATCATTATCATATTCTACGTTTGGTCAATCAAAAGTTTTAATTTACCAACTGAAATTCATATTGGTAAGAATTTTTCTTTTTATGAGATTATTTTATTCAATTAATTGTTAAAAAAAAACTTCTTATATAACTTTAATTAATAAAAACAAAAAAAAAATTATTTATGTAACTGTTTAAATATCGTTTATAGGAGCAATATTTGATACCGGAGATATATTATCTCGTCAAGCATTTGAATATGCTGTTGCTAAAATCAATGCTCAATCACAAATATTTGCACGATCAACAATTGTCGTTAATCATATTGATTTAGTTGATGCACATGATAGTTTTTCAGCATATAAAATGGGTAAAATTCATTTGTTTTTTTTGAATATCAACACATCGAATGTAAAGTCAATTTCTTCTTTTTTTTTGTGTGTAAATATTAAATTCAGTTTGTGCACAATTACAAAAAGGTATTGTTGCTCTATTCACTGGTCGACTTAGTCCTGCAATAGAATTTATTAGTTCATTAACACGTCAATTACATATTCCATTATTTTTATCATCACCTGATCCTCAAACTAAAGTTGAATATTACATAATTAATGTCTATCCACATTATACAGCTACAAGTCAAGCATTTAGTGATATTATTAAATTTCAACAATGGGAAGACTTAGCTATTATAACTGAACATGCAGAAAGTATATAAATAAATAAATAAATAAATAAATGAAGATATATATGAATTTGTTTGTTATAGATTTACATTATCTTCAAGATTTACTTCGATTAACTTCTGATATTCATCAAATGAAAGTAACTGTAAGACAATTACAAGGTCGACCAGGTATCAATAATTGGCATCCATTATTAGAACAATTACAAAAAACAGCAATTTCAAAATTTTTGATTGATGTATCTACTGATCATCTTGATGATTTTTTCACACATGTAAGATAATTTATCATTAACAAAAAGAAAAAAAAAACATTCAATTTTTAAATTTAAGGCTAAAATTGTTGGATTAGTGGGTCCTTATTATGATTTTGTTTTAACTTCTTTGGTAAATAGTATACGAAAAAAACAAACAAACAAAAATGATTTTCTTTCAATTTTCATTTAGGATATATCTGCTCTTAAATGGAGTAAAATTTTATATACATTAGTTAATATAACTGGTTTACAATTTTTTGGACGAGAAGATCCAGCTGTTGACGAGTTTTTTGATACTAATAATAATTTTGATGTTAATGTTCCACTTGTTCCTAATGAACGTTCATTAAGGGTTAGAACTAAATTCTAATATTCTATATACATATATATATATATATATATTTTTTTTTTGTTATCGAATATTTAAAATAGGCATCAGCAGCACTTATTTATGATTCAGTTTATTTTTTTGCACGAGCACTTAATAAATTC